CCCCAAGCTCAGTCTTAAATGCTCTTTGAAAAACAAGAATAGTCTTACGTCTGGCAGGGAAGATACAAACAAGTGCACCTCGTGATGCGTTTTCAATACTAAAAGGCAGTTTATTAGCTCAATTTTGACCTCTGGTTTCCACTGAGGAACCCAGGGTCATAACACTCAGGAAAAAGGTTATCATGTATAACCAAACTCAATTACGGGCTCACCATAGCCCGTGCTACATAGACACTTCGTCCTGAGTAGCTAAATCTGAAACAACAACAACCTCAGTGATACACAGCAGACTACAGACACCCAACAACTCGACGTCCTCCAGAACCGGCGTTTCTTCCGCCTAGGGAGGACGTACCATGCGAATCTAGTATCAGTCTCTAGGCGACAGCGAGAGCATCGGGGAGAGCTTTGTTCTTACCACCAGAGGTTCAGACACCAAGCCCGCAACTGTAGGGCTCCTTGTTCCTGGTCGGGAAACTACTTCGGCGGAGACTGATAACAGCCAGTGACATCCCCCCATTTCAAACATTACACTGCTCTACATATCTGACATCATAACCAAACACCGTTTCCTCGTTGACACAGGTGCAGCAGCTAGTGTGTTGCCTCCCCCACTGGTCAAACCATCCCGTACTCCTGGTTTAGACTTACGTGCCGCCAATGGTACGTCCGTCCGTACATATGGGACCCGCGCCCTGGTTCTCGATTTCGCCTCTCTGGGTCGCTTTTCGTGGACTTTCCTCATAGCGGATGTGGAACAACCCATTCTTGGATGGGATTTCCTGCAACACCATCGACTTATTGTGCATCCCGCAGGTGCAGTACTTCGAGCCTCTCCTAGTACCTCTACACAGGTTAACAGCGTCACCCCAGTCGCATCTACGGAACTTCAAGCACTCCTGGATGAATTCAAAGATGTGACCCAACCCGCCAGCCCTCGACCTGAAGTGTAATATACGATTACGCATCATATTACTACAACGGGAGCACCTACCTTCGCTAGACCACGCTGCATAGCACCGGAACGATTAGTGGTTGCACGTGCTGAGTTCAACAAACTACAGGAGGCAAGAATAATCCGCCCTTCGAACAGTCCATGGGTTTCACCTCTCCATATGGTCCCGAAAACAGCCCCAGGGGAATGGCGCCCTTGCTGGGACTACAGGGCTCTCAACGTTCGTACTCTGCCGGATCGCTACCCAATACCACACCTCCAGGATTTCTCACAGGGATAGAGCAACGCAACCGTTTTTTCGAAAATTGACCTTGTGCGGGCATTTCACCAGATCCCTGTGGAACCGGCAGACATTCCGGAAACAGCGATCACAACACCTTTTGGACTGTTTGAATTCGTCCAGATGCCTTTTGGTCTACGGAATGCAGCCCAGACATTCCAACGCTTCATCGACCAAGTAGTTAAGGACGTTCCTTTTTGCTATGCCTACATTGACGATCTGCTGGTGGCTAGTACATCACCAACAGAACATCTGCTACACCTCCGACTCCTTCTCACCCGTCTGCGCAACTTCGGCTTGCAGCTCAACTCCGAGAAGTGTATTTTCCATGTTCCAGAGCTGGATTTCTTGGGACACCGTGTGTCAGCAGCAGGGGTCCAACCACTAGAGAAGAAAATCGAGGCAATCAAGGAATTCCCGCGCCCATCCATTCCAAAGAAGTTGCAAGAATTTCTTGGTGTGGTGAATTTTTATCATCGATTCATCCCACATTGTTCGGACATCTTGCGACACTTGTACGACCTCTTACGTGGTCGGAAACACACGTCCCATCATCCATTGGAGTGGACTCCCCAGGCAGAGACAGCATTCACCGACATAAAACACAAGCTCACGGAATTCACCTTACTCGCACACCCAGTGTCTGACGCTCCCACCAATCTATCTACCGACGCTTCAAACACAGCTATTGGTGCTGTACTACAACAGCTCATTGAAGGAGAATGGCGCCCAATTGCATTCTTTTCAGCGCGCCTGTCACCCCCTGAAGAGAAATACAGCACTTTTGATTTGCTCGCCATCTACGCAGCCATACAACATTTCCGGCACTTCCTCGAGGGGCGGAATTTCCACATCCTCACAGACCACAAACCCCTCACGTATGCACTGGCGGCCAAGGGTGATGGTCACTCTCCTCGAGTAGCCAACCACCTGGGATTTATCTCCCAATTTACCTCGGATATCCACCATGTCTAAGAAACTAACAATATCATAGCCGATGCACTGTCTCGATCCACCATAAACCACGTCGTGAAAAACCCAGCTCAGGTGGACTATTGTGTAATCGGCAAAGCACAACGGGAAGTCCCTGATCTGCAGCGATTACGAACATCTGACACAGCTCTCCGGTTCATCGAGATTCCCATGGAAGGTGGCGGTAGTATAATCTGTGACACCTCACGGACGGGAGCACATAGGCCCTACATTCCTGCCCAGTTTCGCTGGAAAACGTTCTCAGTATTTCACTCCTTAACACACCCAGGAGTACGTGCTTCCGTCTTCCGTTGGAAGCACGTACTCTACGTGCTACTACGTGTTAGAAAGTACTAACGGAGCATATCGTATGGCAAGGAATCAATGCCGATGTTCGACGATGGATTCGCTCATGTCTCTAGTGCCAGCGAGCGAAAACACATAGACACACAAAGAGCCCACTTCAACAGTTCCCGTTACCTTCTGACTGCACGTAGACATCGTTGGACCGTTACCGTCGGCAAGAGGATATTCTTATCTACTCACCTGCATCGATCGATTCTCCAAATGGCCGAAAGCAATCCCATTGATCAACATCTCAGCTGAGTCAGTGGTCCAGGCTTTCCTCTCTGGATGGGTCGCCCGTTTTGGCAGCCCCTCTGTCCTCATCACCGATCAAGGACGACAGTTCGAATCATATCTATGGAAGGAACTTATGGAATTCCTCAGCACCACACACAATCAAACCACAGCATACCACCCTGAGTCGAACGGAATGGTAGAACGCTTTCATAGACAACTAAAAGCTGCCCTAAGAGCTCAAGCACGCCCTGATGATTGGATAGACAACCTTCCATTAGTCTTGCTTGGCATTCGTTCGGCCACGAAGGAGGGCAGTGGATTCTCGGTAGCAGACTTAGTATATGGATCTAGCCTGCGGCTTCCGGGCGAATTCTTAACCCCGACGCCACTCATCACATCCCCAGCCCCACTTTTGTCCAGAAATTACGGGCGGCCATGACAAGCATTCAGCCTACACCACTATGCCAACCGACAACTCATGCTACGTATGTGCCTCATGAGCTCCACACAACTGAACACGTGTTTGTAAGAGTCGACGCTGTTCGACGCCCTCTACAGTCACCTTACGAAGGACCATTTAAAGTGGTTGCTCTAACACCGAAGTTCTTCACCATTGAACGCCGAGGACAGCGGGTAAACATCTCCATCGATCGCCTTAAACCAGCACACTGTGACGCTGCCCCAGACATCCCTCCAGAGACACATCCGCCGACTATGCCGTTCACTTTTCGACCACAGGTACCACAGCACCGCCACCCACGACAACGGACGACCCTGTACGACCTCCCATCCTACAACCCCAGTTACCAGCTGCACCACCATCTAATCCTACGACGACAGACGATCCTGTGCGACTTCCCACCCTACGACCCCAGTTAGATGACATCAGCGAAGAGGAGGAAGTTAACTTTGAGGGTTATACAACGCGAGCAGGGCGTACAATTCACCGACCAGCTAGGTTCCTTGATCAAGTGTTTTTCCTTTCAAAAAGGAGGAGTTGGGAGGGGGAGTTCTGTAGCAAGTAGATTATCCCAATAATATACTCGCTCCAAGCGCATTAGTCTAATGAGAGAAGCAAAGCTCTTCTTGGTACTAATTATGGAACTCAAACCTTTCCCAACTTTCACATACTATTCCTGTCAACCTTTGGAGAATGGTGAGGTGTTGCCCGAGCATATAAGCAGCAGAGTGGCGAATAATAACTAGACGGGAGACATCTCCCGTCACGCAGGGTGCAGTCGCACCTCCACAGATCTCCAGTATCAGCTCTTGATACTGATAATGGCTCAAAAGGGCCACCACTTACGGGCTATTCATGCCCGTACCATCTTTTGGGTGGCTTAATCTTCATCAATCAATCATCGAATAATAACTAGTCTACTTTCAAGTGTGGTCTAGAACAGACACTTGCGAGATACTGTACCGACGCTCAGTGCGCTCAACTCACACCAAAGTATCACCTGCGAACTTCTGTATATTCGACCAAATATATATATATTATCTTAGTGTTTGTGTTTATTGTCACCATACTTTACGTACCAATAGAACCGTTACACATGCATGAGTGCAACCCAGGATAAATGGGACACTTGAGTCATAAAATACCCTACTGATAATTACCTCATTCTGGGAACTTATTATGTGCCAAACCCAACCCCTTCCTGGACACTTGCTTTAATCACAGTGCTTTTTGTATGCATGTAGTCCTTCACCTTGCTGCCCATATCCTCATCAAAACAGGTGCATGTGTGGCAGTGTATAGACTCAATGGTCCAATAAGACATAAATAACAGGATGATATTACAACACATGTAGAATTTACTGACATATAGAGAAGTCACCCTTTTTGCCATAAGATTTCTCCTAATTATGATTTCCTCATCAATTATGTATTCAGATTTAACCATTTCATAACCTAGTACAAATGCCAAAATTTGTAAACATTATACAGCATCTGCCATTCTTTCGTCCAACTAAATCGCCTTTTAATGATTTTGAGGATTTTTAATATATATCTGTCATTTTTTTTAATTGCTATCAATTAGCAAATGTTGCTTTTCCATCCTGAAATTATTTTAAGAACTGCATTTAATCTTGATTATTTTTTAAAGCAGCTGCCATTTCTTACAATCACTTTCACATTTGTCATTTAGTTATATGAGAATTCAAGATACATGACCATCAAAGGTTTGACACCATTATATTTGCCAGGTGCGCAACTGTAAGCTGTTAGGGATGAACGACCTGAACCAGGGCAGCGCCTACGTCCGTGGCAAGATCAGGGACTTCCTCAACTCCCTCCTCAGCTATGGTGTGGCCGGCTTCCGCATCGACGCCAGCAAGCACATGTGGCCCGCCGACCTCAAGGTAGGACCTCAACCTCAAAGTTGCCTCTCCTAATGTTTCCATATAAAATATACGAGTTTATTTGTAGGCTTTTAAGGTTTAAGGTCTATTGCGCATGATGATCTTTGCGCCCACAATATACCTCAGATTCTATGAGAATTTGTTGTATGGTCAAGTTGCCTAGCAAGCGTGTTTTGCTGAAATTATATATTTAAAAACACATTAATATGGAATGATAAAGTTTTCATTATATTATATATGATTTAATTTTTTTCCTTTTGACATAAAACTAATAAAGAAATCATTTCATCATGCTGGGCCACGCGAGTATCATTTTTGCGTCAAGCTTAAATAGTCCCCACTGGTTCGAATCCTTCAATGGTAAAGAGTTTTCTGATGAATGTTAGCTTGGGGACCATTCATGCACAAATGATACTCACGTGGCCCCAGCATGATGAAGTAATTTGTTGAAATATATATATGTGCCCAAAATGATCAACAAGAAACATATACACTTCTTCCTTTACACATTCAATATGTTACCAGACGTACACACTAATACTTTTATGACTAGATACATAAACATCATTGGCAATAGACTTCCAGAGAATTCAACAAAGTACAATCTCGGTGCAAAATTCTTATATCTCCTCAGAATATCATCAATCTTTCCACTGTGATACATCCAGGCAATTTGTTCAGGAACAGTCCTTATTTTGGTGTTTCTATATACATTATGCATTAATCAACGGGCAATCAAGAACATAATGGTGTGAGAGTGTGTATGTGATAACACCACATAGTTTACACTTCGTGTCATTTTCATTAACATGCAGGCGATGAGTCACAATAACGTGGCTGAAGTATGTTGACCAGACACACACTAGAAATAGGCCTGCTGCAGTTCTCATTACTACTTTCCCTACACCTGACTTTCCTCCTCAGCTCTCTCTTGCCTATTTAATGCCTGTCCCTACCTGTCCTCATCACAATCGACTTGAGAATGGTCCAGGACGGACCGAAACGTCGTCGTCTCTTCATTAACATCTATTCCATATTCTCAGTAATATTTGTAAACAAGCCTGAGCCGTATGTGTATTGAATCACTCCAAGCATTTCTCCTTTTACCATAAGAGAAATGGGTGTTTTGACTCACACACATGTAGTGCTGCATGGTTTGGCTTCCCTCATACATTATACCTCTCCTCGCCATTTCTGCTTGTGCCTGAATATTTTTTTTATTATTCTTATTTGTCTCATTGTTAAAACACATTCAAAGTCAACTTGAGGTCTTGATGTGGCGTGTTTGGCCAGGTCATCCGCCACGTTGAGCACTATTGCTACAAGAGATAGACTCCACATGAATTTCACTTTGTGACCTTTCAGCTGTATCTCATTTATCCTTTTCTTACAATTCTCAACTATTGACATAAATATTGGATTTCGACTGTTTAAGGAATCAAGTGCTCCTCGGCTATCGACATATACGAAAACATCTTTTTCGTCTTGACGTACTTCCTCCAAACCAGCCAGAATGGCCTGCAGTTCAGCTTGTGTGGATGATATATATAATTACCAAGTCGAAGTACAATTTTCCTGCCCACAGTTACAAACTCAGTATATTCCCTTATTAGGACACCACACTGCCCTGCCATCTTCCACCACCGACCCATCACAATATACATGTAAACTATTGCCTCTTAGTAATCCAGATAACATGCTTCCATACTAATACCGTAATTGTCCTGGTTCATGCTGAATCTTTTTCTCCATGAGGGGTACAATTTCTTCTTCTATTTTATGTACTTTCTAATGAGCAGACCAATTACACTGTAATTGTCAAGTACTGGAGGTTCATCCCCTCATGCTGGAATCTTTTGTGATCTGTGAAAGAGCCATGATACTCTAGTATTAATGTCACTATCAATATCATACACACTCAGTAAGTTTACAATTTTCTTTGCATTCTTTGATTTCCTCATAGCCTACTCCAGGGTTCTAATGAGCAGACCAATTACACTGTCGAGAGGGTTTGCAGCAGTCAAGTACATCGTATTTCCTGAGGTCATTAGCTTATTCTGCCTTGTCCTGTGTAAGACAAAACGGGTGCTGCATAGTCTATCAGGGATCAAACAGTGATTATGTATAACATCCTAAAGATAGGTACCCCAACACCTGCACCAGATAATGCTAGCGCCTTTAGAAGATGCAGACGGGCTATACATAAGGTGCTGATATGAGTTATTTCAGCATTTTAACTCTCACATGTGTATCCAACATATATGCCCAGATACTTAAACTTCTGAACACGGTTTAGTCCCTAACCATTTAGAGTGTTATATTTCTTTGTTTTCAATACCAATATTTAGTTTTACCTGCATTTATAACTAAGCCTAACTTGTGACAGGTTGTACCAAGAATGTTAAGAGCAGTTTGAATCATGTTTCCAGCAATGCCTTGTATAAGAGGGTCATCAGCATATATTATCATCGAGACTCCTGGTGTGGGGAAATATACCAGGATTGATATAACAAGGAGAATCACATAGAAACAAAAATGTGATTACTAGAACCATGAACTTAGAACTAAATAATTACTCTTATTGTTAAAGTGCAAAACAAAAGCTCTTAGCTGAGTGCAAGGTTCCTATGGTGGAGTGTAAGTCCACTCCTTTGTGACCTTCATACTGGTAATATGCTGTAACAGGTAGGGTCCTTAGGCTGATCTGGCTCATAAATTGCAGAACTTAATATACTTGCAAGTACACCCACACATTTAACATGTGATTTTTACATGGATATGACAAAACAGTTCTATGACTGCAAGCACTAGTAAGGTTCATGATCTAGGATCTGAACTATACACTCTCTAGCCTAGTCCTAGAATAGCTGTGCTGTTGTACACAAGGTATAATTATACAAGGTTTTGTATGTAAATTTGCATGCAAAAATTATTATATGTACAAGAGTTTTTTACATTCTTGTAAAGCCACTATTACGCGTAGCGTTTCGGGCAAGGTCCTTAACCCTAATTTCCCCGGAATACGACCCCGCCGAATCGTTTAACAACCAGGTACCCATTCACTGCTGGGTGAACAGAGGCTACAGTTAAGGATTGGCGCCCGGTCAATCCTCCCCGGCCAGGATTCGAACCCAAGGCAAGGCGCTTGCGAAACGCCAGGCGAGTATCTTACCACTGCGCCACGGAGACTGCTCATAATAAAATGAGGACTGCATGTAATAAAATAAACGAACTTTATAAATTAAAATAATGGATAAGGCAATTAAATGTATGAAAAGTTAAAGTAAATAATTATATACACAAGATATAAATATCCCGCAATAAAGGTGGTTCATTCACTGAAAAGATTATGTCAGACCTTACTAGATGATGAGGCGTTGCCTCGCTGCCTAACGACTCTCAATTTATATATGGATGTATTAATGTTATAATGCATGCTAATTTGGCCAAATCTAAGCTCTAAAACAATTAATAACTTATTCAGAAATTGAGACCCGGAGCCTATCTGACAGTAGCCAGATGATGTTTCTGTTGCTGAGACAAGGCTCTATATTTTAATGATGAATATAGCAGCTTGATGATGATAATTTGGATGTCACATGCTTGGAGCGGCCCGCAGGCCCACATACCCACCACAGCCCGGCTGATCCAGAACTTCTCTTAGAAAACAATTCAGTTTTCTCTTGAAGATGTCCAAGGTTGTTCCGGCAATATTTCTTATAGTCGCTGGGAGGACGTTGAACAACCGCGGACCTCTGATGTTTATACAGTGTTCTCTGATTGTGCCTATGGCACCTCTGCTCTTCACTGGTTCAATCTTGCATTTTCTTCCATATCGTTCACTCCAGTACGCTGTTATTTTACTGTGTAGATTTGGGACCTGCCCCTCCAGTATTTTCCATGTGTATATTATTTGGTATCTCTCTCGTCTCCTTTCTAGAGAGTACATTTGGAGAGCTTTGAGACGATCCCAATAATTTAGGTGTTTTATCTCGTCCATGCGTGCCGTATATGTTCTCTGTATTCCCTCTATTTCAGCAATCTCTCCTGCTCTGAAGGGGGAAGTGAGTACTGAGCAGCACTCGAGACGGGACAACACAAGTGACTTGAAGAGTACAACCATTGTGGTGGGATCCCTGGATTTGAAAGTTCTCGTAATCCATCCGAGCATTTTTCTGGCTGACGCAATATTTGCTTGGTTATGCTCCCTAAACGTTAGATCGTCGGACATCATTATTCCCAAATCCTTGACATGCTGTTTTTCTACTATGGGAAGATTCGATAATGTTTTGTACCCTGTATTATGTTTCAGATCCTCATTTTTGCCGTACCTGAGTACCTGAAATTTATCACTGTTAAACATCATGTTATTTTCTGCTGCCCAATCGAAAACTTTGTTGACATCTGCTTGTAGTTTTTCAATGTCTTTAGCAGAGGTAATTTTCATGCTGATTTTTGAGTCATCTGCAAAGGATGACACGAAGCTGTGACGTGTATTTTTGTCTATATCTGATATGAGAATAAGGAACAGCAGTGGTGCAAGGACTGTACCTTGAGGTACAGAGCTTTTAACATCGCTTGGACTCGATTTTATTTGATTGACTGTTACTCTTTGTGTTCTGTTCGACAGGAAATTGAGTATCCAGCGTCCTACTTTTCCAGTTATTCCCATTGACCTACTTTTGTGAGCTATCACCCCATAGTCACATTCGTCGAACGCCTTTGCAAACTCTATGTATACAACATCTGCATTTTGCTTTTCTTCTAGAGCTTGTGATTTTGTCATAACTGTGACAGACAGGATCTTCCCGCTCTAAATCCATGTTGTCCTGGGTTAAGCAACTCATTGTTTTCAATAAAACTAGAAATTTGTTTCCTAATCACTCTTTCAAACACTGTTATTATGTGTGATGTTAGTGCAACTGGCCTATAGTTTTTTGCCAAGGCTTTACTCTCTCCCTTGTGCAACGGAGCTATATCTGCAGATTTAAGTACTGCTG